TATCACCTTTTAATGAAATCCTACCTAAATGATCGCTGTTTCAGAGTGAGGTGCTGCAATGAATTCTCGGAAATCAAACAGACACAGGCCGGTTACCGCAAGGTAGTATCCTTGGTCCTGTCCTACATATCATTTATACTGCCGACCTACCAACACATCCTGACACTATTATCACTATCCACGCGGACCACAATCCTATCCTGTAACTCGAATCCTGTCCAAGCTACCTCCAAGAACCAAGAACACCTTGAGCTTATCGATGAGTGGTGTAAAAAATGGAGGACAAGAGTGAACGATGAAAAATGCACTCAATGTACTTTTACGCTGAAAAAGCAGCCTTGTCCTCCATTGTACATCAACAACAAAGAGATACCAGTTTCCACTCAAGTCAAATACCTGGGACTATATCTCCGACTTTGACACAAATCGACTTTGACATTAAGACAAAACTAACACTATACAGACTTTACTAAAACCAATATGGACATACGGAGTAGAACTGTGGGGCAATGCCAAGCCTTCCAATATCCAGCGCATCCAGTCCTTCCAATCGAAAGTCCTTAGACAAATTGTCAAAGCACCTTATTATGTCACTAACCTCACTATCCACAAAGACTTCAACATTCCTTTTGCCAACGAACTAATCCAGTCCAGATCCTAAACCTTCCATACCAACCTACTATATCCTATATAGTATCCTAACCATACTGCTCGAGCCCTCTCCATTCATTCCCATCCTGACAACCCACCACGTCGCCTCAACCGACGATGGCCTCGGGACCTCCTTGATATACACACTGTCATACACAATGAGTGCCAGCAATGGCTACCGGTGCAGTGCTGGCATTAGTGCTAGTGTTGTACATATTTGTATAGTATACAATTCTGTATAGTATACAATTCTGTATAGGTAACAAATAAATTTTTAAAAAAGTCCTGATGAAGTGGATTTTCCTCAAAGGCGCGATTTAGGAACTGTGTTTCATTCTTAATATCGGTCCTAATAGTAATTAAAAATAGTACTTGTAGCAAAAAAATAATGTTTTTTCTAAAAGTAAGTATGTTTGCCAACAATGTTGAATTGTTAAAAAAAAAAATTATATTTGTGAAATAAACTTGCCGAGTTTCATCCTTGTTAACAGCACGATTTCCTTAAGCCCCACTAAATCCGTGGTACAACCTTTTCTTCCAATTTCTTAAAGTGCTCTACCCGTTAATGAGAATAATAGCAACGAATTGTGAAGGAGATGTCTTGAATAAAAGTAAGGAAAACTTTTAAAACCGATAAAAATTACAAAAATTCCAAGGAAGTGTAAAAAACATATTTATTTCCCACTTTTGAGCTTATACATTTACACAGAGATAAATAAAAACAAAAAGAGAAATAATGCTGTGTGCTCCTCAGTAAAGTTGAGAAAGCTATGCAACAATGGGGGATTTTCGTCAGTCCTAATCCAACACGAGTTGTTTCTCTCTCTTAGAACAAACAGCTATTACTTATTTATTCCGAACAAAATGTAATCCCTCTTCTTTTTTCCTATAAGCTGGTATTATTTTAAAAATGTAATTGACATTATTCAGAAAAGTCTAAATCGTATCGATGCTTCAATTCAATGATTCAATTAGCAGTAAATTGTACACATCTTCGTTATTTCTAAGGGATGAACTTGATTGATCCTCCAATTAGTGAGATCAAAGATATCGTCAGAAAGGGCTATCACGGTCTCTAGTCGGTGCTAATGAGGACGACTCCGTTCAACCAAAATTAAAGTTGATGTAATATATAAATAAAAGATAATGAACTAAAATTATTCAATATCGCATTGTTACTTTGTACTTTTATCATAAATCACAACTAATTTAGTTATATTATTACATACTTACATATAATATTTTTGCTGTCTTAATTAAACATTATCCATTATTTTTCTCCGTTACACCAGTCATTTAACTTTCAAAAATTTATGGTTAATTACTGACAAGATCTTTTTTAAACTGTACCGTAAAAAATACCAGAAAATATTTCTCTATTGTTTGGCCTTTAAGATCATCTTTGAGGTACGGCAGCAGACTCAGATTACTGATCAAATATATCAGGACCATATATTATATATATTACGCAGGGTGGGCGACCAGGACCCGGGGGGTTAAATGCTTGGGAAGACTCGTACCCCATCCATAAAAGATTCGGGACTTGTCGGCTCACGTGACCTGCATAAATTTCTTGGACTTGTTCACGAACCCCAAGCTTTTGGACCATTTTATCTCGGGGAGTGATTTGGTAATGTCTGCTCCTTCAAAGATTTCAAATCTGGATCTAGCATACCTATCACACTCTGTGAGGTTGTGCCTTGCCGTTTCTTCTTTTATTTCGCAAAAACGGCAAAAGGATCTGGTAGAATACCCAGAGAGGTGTCTTCTAAGTAAGCAGTGGCCCGTCAGGATCAGCCTCCTAATTCCCTTCCTTACATAGAGTATAGCCATTTCGATTCTGCTGGTTTGATCACCTTTAACAAACTCTTTCGATTGCCTGTGTCCGGGGGATAGATTCCACTCCTTAAGGAATTGTTTCATACCACAGTTTTTAATACTCTCTTTCGCTGCGCTCATAAAGTGAGGTAATACCGGTTGTGGCCCGACAAACACAGTATTAGAACCTTTTTTGGCCAGGCTATCCGCCTCTTCATTGCCATGGTGTCCTTTATGTGCAGGTATCCAAATAAGGGTTACTTTCTTCTCAAACCTGGAAGAGATCCTATTGATAAGATCTACAGTTTCTTCCACCAGTTCAGAGGTTGACAAATCTTTTTGTAATGACCTAAGACTAGCCTGACTGTCAGAAAAAATCTTTTCCCTTAATTTTATTTTCCATAAGTTCTACAACACACATTAATGGCCCAGATTTCTACTTGAAAAACGAGGTGTTATTGCCAAGAGGAGATGCTGATTTCTAATTTAGGTAGTATATTCCTGCACCGCTCCTTCTACCTTTGATAAGTGAACCATCTGTATAGCAGTCTATGTTGCGATGGTCATCATCCATGCTATAATTATATTCACAAGGGGTGACTACCTGAAAGTACTTTTCCCCGAAGGGGTTTGAATCTTTATCACTAACGCTTAATAATTGGCCGTTAACCTTACTCAATAGTTGGAAGATTTTCGAGTGACCTATGTCATTCCACTTATGATTCCAACTGCCTTCATTAATTAATCTGAGCAGATCTAAGGTCAGAGCAGCTGGTTAAGTGCTCTGACCTTAACCTCAATGTGTAGAGGTTTGGTATTGGTTATGATTTCAAGTACTAGGGTTGGTGTAGTTGAAAATGCTCCTGTCGTCTTCAAACGGCCTATTCTTTGAAATGACCTTAATTTGTTACTATTCCCTTTATTTTCTAGACCGTTCCACCATACTAACGCTGCGAACAATAATCTAGGTTGCAATATATAGCCATTTGTCTACCCATGGTTTGAGGCCCCATGTTTTACCGACAATTATATCAGGACCATAAATATTTTTAATTGTAAATAGATCTTTATACCTTCCTTTATGTGATACGTATTATTTATTGGATCGAATGTATTTATTAGCGTGAATTGAGGGATATCTAGAATTCTGGGATAGTTTACATGAATGTGGGAATGTAATTTACCATGTGAATGAAAAGTCTAGTATGTGAGTTTAATTTATTAGCGTGAATTCAAAGGCTTATCAAGAATTGCGAAAGAATATCTAGAATTCTGAGATAGTGTGAATGAATATGTGAATGTAATTTATTAGCGTGAATTAAGGGGCATGTTCCTGATTATCCCGATGAATATCGAATACTAAGGGAATAGTGTGTATGTAATTTAATGTTCTCGAGTAGCGTGAACGAAGTCTGGTGCATGAAGTAATTTATTGGCGTAAAAGAAGGGGCATATCCTCAATTAAACCTAAGGAATTCTGGGTAGTGTGAACGAAGCCTGGGTAGGAATGTAATTTATTAGCGTGAGTGGAGGGGCACATCTCCGCTTACCTCGAGGAATATCGTGTACTCTGGGGTAGTGTGAACTAACCAGACAAACATCTCTTTATCTAGTTCCTGTGTTTCTAAAAAAATAAATAAATAAAAAATATCATCTTGGTTTTATCTGTCATATGATTTGGCATTTCACCATCTTCGGTGGTTGGATTATGCGTTATTTTATGTTACTTTTTATTGGTTCTTTTTTATACTTTTGTACCACTAAAGATGCAGAAATATTCAACGTCACTTTCAGATCAAAGGAGCAAAGATGGACGGATCTAGAGGGTACATGTTAAAAATAGTTGGCCACTTTGCTTTCTCAGTTTGAACCGGGTCCTTTACGTTTCGGTCATACACGTTATTGCTTCACGCCCGCCTCAGTGAGGAAATGTCTCATAAGAAGAAAAAAAACAGTTCCTCACTGAGTAACATGATTACTGCCTTTCAATTTACCATAATATATTTTTGTCACGACACACAATTCCATCATAAATCTCATAATTAAATAATTTGTTTTAATTTATTTCAACTCGCGAGAACTGCTATGTTTGTTGTTGTAAGGCGTATTTTGAAAGAAGTTAATGAAACATCAGCTAAAGACTTCAAATTTGAATGTCACAAATATTGTTTATATATTACAATTAGTTAAGGTTTTTAATTGAGATAAAAGAGTCATTGGCACGAGCGGGATTCGAACCCAGATCTTCGGCTAGATACGCCGCTGCTCTACCACTTGAACTATCGTGATCTCGATCCACTCGGACATCGACTTCCTATCTCAACCCCACCTTTTGAGTTTTCCCTCCTTTTTGCCACTTTTCAAATCCCGCTCGTGCCATTGACTGTATCTCAACTAAAAATCTTAATTAATTTTAATATATTAATTGGTCAAGCGGACCACGAAATTAGTGAATTTGTTTATATACATAATTAAACATGTTTCGTATATGACTTTTTACAAAATGAATTATTAGATACGAAACTTTCCAGGTTTATGGAATCGGCGAAAAGAGGAACGTGGCCTCTCTGGCGAGAGGGTTCTCGCTGCCACAGGGCAAGAGGAACATCGCTTCCATCGTCCGTGGAAAAAAAGATTCGTTCGAAGAGACCAACGAGGACAAGCGAAACCTGCCGTCCATCATCAGAGACCGTACCGAACCCCTGGGGGAAGGAAAAAGGCACATCGGTGCATTCGTAGCGAACCACGGAATCCCATTCGTCAACGACAAGAGGAACGTCGGAGTCCTCGCCAAGAACCGAGACTATCCATATGCTCTAAAATTCGGAAAAAGGGACGTCGACGAAGAAATCAACAAAAGGTGAGAACACTAACACCCAGAAGGGCTAATTGTACAAACACTTTTATTCTCAAAAAATATTTTATTTCTGCAATTTTTTAAATTGTTTTTATTAGTTAAGCAAACATTTCTGATGCATTCTGGACAGTTCTAAGACATTTTTATACAACGTTCTGTTTATACAAAGAGTCTATTTGTTTTTTTAATCAGTAAGCATCAGCCACGTATAGAAACTTAGTATATTCTCAAAAAATATACAGATCTTTTAATACTCTAACTAAAGAATTAAGAAGTGGAGTTTACGAAGGTGTCATTGATTTTAATGAAACGGTTTTGGGTGATACTAGATATAAGAAAATTGTATACATATCCGAGTTGCCGAAGGACCCTACAAGCGAAAAAATAAGTTAATAAAATATGCTAATCTGCCTTCGTTGTGCATGATAAATAAGAACAGTAATAAATTAATATAAAGGATTGTTTTGCATATTGAAATATAAAATAATCCAAGAAGATAAGATATCTAAAAAGTTACAAAATTCAAAAAACGATTCTAGTAAAACAGGCCAAAAAATTACTAAAACGATTCGTTTTATGTACCAGGTAAAGCTCTTAAATACGAATTTTTATGGCCAACCAAAAATTAGAAATTTTGGAGCTGAATTAGCCACGCGCAATTTTTTATCTCCTATGACCAGTGTTTCACTTCAAAATTGATAACTCATTCAAATTTTCCCCAAGTTCAACATAATTTAAGCGTCAGAAAGCTGATTAATTTTGTTTTCAGCTTACGCTTGTATACTTTTTATTAATTGATAATTAAAAAATTAATGAGAATATAGGTTGTTTTTTATAATATAGTTTATTGTAAGCTGTTTTTCTTCGTTGTTAACATTATAAAAAGATACGATTGGGACGAATTCAAGATTGTTTTGATATTTACTTCTAACTCGCATTGACGATATGTATATGTCATTATGCTGTAAAGAAATCCATATTTGCATAGTGTCATAATAGACCGTATTGATTATTTCAATATTCTTTTCATTTACGTTTTTGATTAAGATGAAAAATTAATGTCAGGAGCGGGGTTCAAACCCACAAGCTTAGATAAAAAACGAATTGGAATAATTAATATTGTTAATTATGGCCACTTAGCAAATATGGATTAATTAAATAACTAAAAGAAGTAATTAATTCACTAACAGCTCCTCGTGGCTACTTCATTAGTCGCTGAAAATTGAATCATGATTACGACATTAGAAAATATGGCAAACAAAAGGTAAATTTGTAAATAGAGGGGATCAAAGTCACGATAGCTCAAGTGGTTAGAGCTGCGGCGTACTGAGCCGAAGGTCGTGGGTTTGAATCTCGCTCGTGACACTGATTTTTCATCTCAATCAAAAACTTAGATAAAAATAATTAATTGAAAGCTGTAAACAAAATTAGTGCATAGAAGAAGAATTGTGTCTTACATTTGTGTCGTATTATTTTAATGGGCAATGCTTTGAATTGCCAATGAAATAATTTATCATTTTAATGATGGTATATTATTTTGCATTCAATGTAAATATGTTTAAGAAATTCTCTCTTTGGTTATTGGAGTTTGACATTATTTTTAATTTAACTAATCTTTATGTAAGTTATTGGTTGAAATGAAAAAGTCAGTGTCTCGAGCGGGATTCGAACCCAAGACCTTCGGCTAGATACGCCGCTGCTCTATCACTTGAGCTATCGTAACTTCGATCCACTTGGGCACCAACTTTCCACTTCAACCTTCCTTTCCGATTTTCCCTCCTTTTTGCCATTTTTCAAATGTCGTGTAATCAGGATTCGATTCTCGGTGACAAATGAAATGGCCACGGAGAGCTTAAGTGTAGATATACTACGTTTTACTTATTAAATCCATTATATTTCGCGGTTCGAAAGGGAAAAGGTCCCATATGTCGTATTTCAGTATAAAGTTAAGCCCAAATAAGTCGTTTACTTCGTTTAGGGAAGGGCAATCACATGTCAAGGCCCTGAGTTTTTTGACATGTAGGGCATGAATGACATAAAACAATGGCTCATGGGCTGATCTCGATGAATTTGCTTGAAAAATCATTATGTTTTCTCAGTACTTATTAGTAAGTTTTAATCTTGAGAACAAATCTATTGGAGGATGATTGAGCTTTTGAGATAGCTGACAATTGAGCAATATGCACCGACAAAAGTTTCTATCATGTGCACAAAAATCTTGTCTCATTTCGTAAACATAAATTTTGTATGAGAAACAATACGGAACACTACCCTGAATAACACCACTATTAATTTTTAAAAGATCACTGAACTGATCAATTTTTACCGTCAAATCTCGTGTAATACAATCCTTAAGTTAATTTTTTATTGTACGCAAAAAATTTTACTGATATATTGTCTACTTAAAATACATGGACGACAAAGGCAGAAAATTATATTATTTTTTTTCACGCATCCTAGGGCTCATTGGCAAGACCCCACGGGCAGGTGTCTGATATTTTTCGACTTAGTATCACCAAAAAAGTTTCATTAAATTCATTGAGCCCATGTCCATAGCCGCCGCTTGAAATTGCAATTGCATTTCATACATTTGAACTAAGAATGGAAATTTTAGTCAGATTTCTTACTTATTTTCCATATTTTGGTATTAAATTACTATTTCAAACTTGTTTTTTGGAGGTATATAATATTTATAGTAGGTATTATTATCTATTAGAACAAAAAGCTAAAACAGTAATTTTATTAAATTCATTATATTTAGTGGTCCATTGACCAAATTACTTCTTTCAATTAAATAATCTTTTTATGTAAGGTTTTGGTTGAATTAAAAAAGCCAGTGTCACGAGCGGGATTCGGAACCACTCAACCGGTTAGAGCAGCCATTTATTGAGCCGAAGGTCGTGGGTTCGAATCCCGCTCGTGACACTAGCTTTTTTATGTCAACTAAAACCTTACATAAAAAGATTATTTAATTGAAAGAAGTAATTACATTCCAATCTTCGTTCTTTTTTAAAATATTCTTATTCAATAACACATTATCCCATCAGCATATTATAATTAAATATTTGAGTATTACAGAAATATTTATTGAAAATATATGTCTGGAGTTAAACTAAAACCATGTCAAACAATAAAATTTTGATCGATGATCTAAATATCTATTTACATGCTGAACACATAAAACCAAATAATGGGATATTGTATTTTGATCGTTCTCATTCGTTGTGCATTTATTGCAGACACGTTGCTACTTTACTGAGACAGGCAAGGCTTTCGGATCACCCAACGGAAACTGACGATATCTCCCTCAAAGAAACAGCTCAGGACGACTTGAAAGAAGAGATGTCGCAGATCACAAAGGACGACATGGAACACACCCGTACCAAGAGGATGGCCCGCGAGGAACTGGAGAAGAGATATTTCGGTGAGTTGTCGTTTTTAGGCCCGATACTCTCAAAAATGCCCCGAGCGCGATACACCCCGAAAAACGGCAAATTCCCAAAAGCAAAGTGATAAAAAGCCGAAATCGGCGAATCCCTTGGTGTAACGTCGAAATGGCGTTTGCAGGATCTTTGGCCCGGAGCGGATGGCTTCCTCATGGACACTTTCGGAGAAACCACAACCGGATGACTAGATACCGGTAGATTTTTGAATTTTTAGCCTTTCTTTATCATCTCTCTCTGTAATTTTTTTATAAAACAAAAAAACCAATACGTAGGTACTCAGTTCATACAGTTAACCTGCCCTTGCTTAGTTGTTCCCAAGATAGCTGGCAAAAATGCATCTCTTACAAATAATTATTTAAAAAAAAAGACTTTTCATTTTGTAAATATATGTAGTTAATCTTTTCTTCGACTTTTTGGTACAGATTTTTTTTCACTTAGATTGCATGATACAGAATTTCTATTTCAAGTAGTAAAACTTAATCTTTCTCAAATATGCTCTAGACGATTTGTAAATAGAATTCTGAAACAGAATCTAGGTATTTCATCTCAGATGTATTGGGTTGTCCGGAAAATAATGCAGGATTTTGGTATTAAACAAAAAAAAAAGAAACTAGTTACTTTAAAGCAATGTTCTTTAATCAAAATAATTTCCCATACTCTCAATACATTTCTCCCAACGTGTTGGTAACTTATTTCAGAATTTTTAGAATTGATAAAGTCAATAAATGCATTTTCCAGTTCCGTTTGATTTTTGAATATTATGTGTTGTAAGTAGTGGTCCAGGTGTCTAAAAAAATGGTAGTCAGTAGGCGAGAGGTCCGGAGAGTAGGGTGGGTGAGGCAAAGTTTCATAGCCAAGCTCCAATAATTTTTGTGACGTTACACGTGACACATGTGGTCGAGCGTTGTCATGCAACAAAATGGGCCCTTTCCGATTGACCAAAGAGGGCTTCATTACTGCCAATTTCTGATGCATGGTATTAATTTGGTTACAGTATGATTCAGCATTGATGGTTTCGCCAGGATTTAAGAAGCTGTAGTGTATTAAACCAAATGAAGCCCACCATACCGTAACCATTACCTTTTTTTGATGAGTTGGGGGCTTTGGAAAATGTATTGGAGCTTCTCCTTTGTCGAGCCACTGTCCAGAACGTCTAGTGTTATCGTAGAGAATCCACTTTTCGTCACATGTAACAATTCTGGCCAGAAATGGGTCATTTTTGTTTCGACAAAGAAGTGATGCACAAACATCAAAGCGCTGATTTTTTTGGCGATCGTTTAATGAGTGTGGAACCCAATTTTCGAGTTTTTTCACTTTTCCAATCGCCTTGAGGTGGTCAGCAAGTTCTCGAACAGTTGTTTTGGGGTTTTCTTCCACCACTGATCGCAGAACATCATCATTAAGAGAGGAAGGCCTTCCACGACCTTCTTCATCTTCAAGGCTGAAATCTCCCTCCCGAAATTTTTTAAACCACCTTTGCACAGTGCACTCATTAACACAACCCTCGCCCCAGACTTGGTTAATGTTTCTAGCCGTTTGGGCTCCGCTTCGGCCGAGTTTAACTCGTAAAAGAAAATCGTACGAAATTCTCGCTTTGACATTATAAGGATGACTGAATTATTTCCAAGTAGCGGAATGCTACAGAGGTAAACAAACAATATCATTTGGAAGAGGATTAATAAGTGTTGACATTCATACAAATGAGTAATCCTGTAAACGTAAACAGAATATTTTATATAGATTTTTTTTAATGAAAACTTAAAATCCTGCATTATTTTCCGGACAACCCGATAGCTTTTTAAAGGATCTTTGTTAAAATTTTCCAATATATTTTTAAAGCACAGCTCTTACTCCTAAGATTTATGCAAACACGTTATATTTTGGTTTAATTGAAATATAGGATTATCATTGTTTACATAAGCAAACATATTTGCTATTTTGAGAAATTCGTCCAAGAATCTGGCCTTCGGAGGATCTCACTCGAAGAGTCATCCTCACCCGGTTAAGAATAGGGCATGCGAGATTGACACACGTCTTTACTTTTTGACCGGCATGCAGAGGAGGGTTGCTCGATATGTCCAACCTGATTGTGGGTACAATTCTTTGGTCCCATATAGAGAGCGTGTAGGAATTCCATTATAGGAACTCTACTTGAGCACGACAAAGAATATCTGAGTCTCCTGTTCTGATCCTTGAATGAAACAGGGTTGTTTTATTGTGCATTGTTTTGTGTATAGAGTGAATGGATTTATCAGCTTGAATGTGTAGTGTGAGAGGGCGGATGGTGGAATTTTGAGTACCCCATCAACCCTTAGGTTTGTTTAAAGAATTTATTTCAGAATGAATGAGGAAGTGAATGATTTTGGATCCAGGAACTGCATGCGGTGGGTGCTGATTGACCTATTTGTTGATAGTTCCTGTAACCTAACCTCGGCGTCCGGACGGACCAGACCGAGGTCTGACCCCGGACTGCCAACACCCGAGGTGGGTGATTCTCGAAACCTGCACATATGTGTATGTATGTATATAGTCCGAATTTGAGCCTACATAAATTCAAGAAACGATTTTAATTTTAATAAAATAAAAATTTGTGCCAGAAACACCACACTCGTCTAGCTTTAGGAAGTTTTTCTCGAATATTTACTGCATTTTATTTCGCGTGAATTAATTCCACTACAATTTACGTAATAAAAGCGAAATTGTTATGTAAAATTTACATGTTCAAATGTTATCCATTTAAAGATACAGTTACGTTTGAAACTTACTCAAATTAGCATTCCAACATTAACATTATAATTTGATCTTACAACTCTCCTTGTTTGTTTCGTAAACATGGTAGCACCGTAAAATAAACCCACAGACAGAGTATGCTGCACATTTTGCTGCATGAATGAAACTGGGTTAAGCATAAAGGCCTCCTTAATGGAAGTACTCGAAAGTTAATTTTACAACGATTATCCATTGTGGTAGGAATTGCTCTTCCCTTCTGAGTATTCAAACGATGTTTGCCATCAGTTTTCATTTCTGATGTTTACACGCAATCTGATTGTTAGAATAGAAACCAATATTGTTACAGTATCCGATTGTTACTTCAATTGCCATTTCTTTCATTTGGGAAAAAAAATTAATAGATATTTGTGTTTTTCAAACCATCCATTGCTGTACAATGTTTGACAGAAAAAATAATGATTTTTTTTGTATTTTACCCATATTCTGGGTTCTTTTGAAGATTGTTGGAAAGCACGAAAAACGATTTAATTTGGCTTTCTTCCTGTCTTTTTCCGCCTCCTTGCGCTTTTTTGCTCAGATTCATGATGGCGAAGTGCCAAAATGCTTCTGACAGACACAACCAGCAAGAATAGACAGACTAGAATGATCTGAAACGACCGAACTACAAGTTCAAAGTACGGATCCATATCGCAGGTTTCGTCTAAATGATACATTGAATCGAATATGTTCTGGTATAAAGCATTTTCGGGTCAAACGAAACTTTTTTCGCTTTAATTGAAACGTTTTTTTTTTTTTTCAATTGAAACTTCTTTCTTTTTAATTAAACTTTTATCTTTTTACATGAAACCTGTGGTTTTGTGAGGGTTGTTGAAAAAAAAAAACTGTTTATTTGTCAACATGATTGTATTATACGGTAAGAAATCATATATTAAATGAATTATTTTAGTATAGGAGCATTCCCGCTGCTCGTAACTTTAGCATAACGTCAACGTCTATGTGGGTGCAATATGCTTGGAAGAGGGAGTTTACGCTGCGATGAATAACTTCAGGCGGGTTTTGTAATTGGTCCGGAGTAGTTATAAGTCATCTGGAAAAGTTTTTAATCTTTGAGATGTTTCGAATGGTTTAGCAACGGTGAATAAGGAGGAAGAAATTTAATTACAAAAAGAAAGCACTATTTGTTCAACTAGTTCCGTTTTGTGGATAGCGGCGTTATCCATGACAAGTGTCGAATTGTTAAGGGATGGTTCATTGAGCTTTAAGCAAAGTTCTCGTACAAAACCGCAGAATATCTCTCCATTGCAATTTCCGGTAGTCATTACTGTATGGTGACAAATACCTTGATAGATAATGGCCAACGTAAGCGTCCCATTCTGTTGGGATTGTGATGATTGCGCGGGTCTTTGCTCTTAATCGTGCTCGACTCCTAAGTAGTTGAAGTGAAGGTTAAAGCCTGATTCATCGATACAAATGAGGAGAGAAAGATTTGCAAGTGCCCATTCAACAATGGTTAAGGCAAACACTTTCCTCATCATGACAGATATTTCGGAATTTATTTGGTCGATTTCCAATTAAGCTTTTTTTAACCAATTTTTAAAGAAGCCAGTGCATCATGAATAGAAGTAAGGCCGGCACCACACTAGACAGAATGCGACGGAAATTTCCGCTGCACAAGCTTAATTAATTAATTTCCGTCGTAATGTTTCCGTCCAGCACCGCGACCACGCGTCCGTCAACGGAATTTTCCGCTGGGTTCCGCCTAAGCAGGTCAAAACAGTGCAAAGTAGAAGGTTGTGCCAGACTGGCAACGGACATGGGTAGAGCGGAAGAGGCAGGCAGTCGGACAGCAAAAAGCTGATCTAGGATGGACGTAGACTATTTTATTGTGGAAGTTCAGAACAGGCCCTGTCTGTGGAATTGTAAAGAGAAAGTACAGTAACAGGGATGCCAAGAGAAAAGTCATACAGACAGTAGAATTGCCCAAGTGCTACCCTTTTCATATTCATGAATGAATCCAATGTTTTCTCTTTCTCCTCTGCTTTTCCAAGTATGGCTTGTTCGGGTTGGGCGGATTTTTCGTCGCGGAAACTTCCGTCACATTCAGTCTAGTGTGGTGCCGTGCCTATGGCATGGTATGGTAAAAAAGGATACTAGAAAGCGGGGTTTGCGCTCCCCAGGCACTGCAGCCTTCTGGTTTATTCTACCTTCCTAGTTCCTTAGTTCAGTGCAATAGACTCAATTCTTCTCC